GATAGGATATAAAATTTAAAATCTTGTAGATAAAAGGTATTTTATATTTTTAATACTGTAGAAGGTAGCCTTAAGAGTACAGTAAAGGTTTTTCTGTTAACTCTATGGAAATATATGTAATGTTTACACAGGAATAAAAGATATGTATAGCTTTCATTTAAAAGTCATTTCGGAAAGATTGGAAACCAAGAGGAGTAATACTTTAAGACTATGAAAAGTTCCAATGAAGAATTGATACATAAAAGTTTTCTTGGTGAAGAAAACTGAGTACACCATGGAAAGAAGATAAAACTTGTTTTTCAGAGAAGTATATCCAGAATGCTTCTAAGAAACAGGCTGACCTGTCTTCGTGTTTATTTTGGGCATGTTATCAGGAGGTCCCTGTCTCTTACTTCTTACTGAGTGTAATAATTGGCTAACAGACTTCTCTTTTCCGTCTTTTCCCATAATTTATTAATGTGTCAAATATCTGCAGGTGAAGTGTCATGGTTTTAAAATAGTAACAAAGTATATTGGAAATAACTTTTACTTTAATTCTCTTTCAGAAACATACAGCTTTTGCTACTTTCCCCAATGAAGGCACAGCTCTAAAGGTATGAATTTTTTCTTTACTAATGTGATTAATAAACTTGAAAACTCAAGCTTCTTGCTAATTTTCCATTTCCAAGGTGTAAGTCACCTTGAAAGGCTCTTGCTTATCTTTCTTCCACAGAGTGACATATGGATTCCACATTGCTGAAAGGAGCACTCTGCCTTTAAGTTAGCAGCACAGCTCCCTAAGGACTGCATGAGGCAGAGTTCCCCTTATAATCCGTAGTTTTCTGTTATCTAGTTTTTGGTTGAAAATAAGAGGTAGTTTTAAACTCTAGTTTTTAAAAGCTAAAAAAGTTCTCCCAACAAATTGTATTTGTTATATCAGATTTAAAAAGGTATAAATCACCCTAGTGCTTATGTATTTGGATGAAAAAACCAGTGGAAAGGATAAAGTGAGTTAATATTGACTTGTAATATGTAAAAGTGATTAAAAATGACTTCTGAAGAATGCAGTGATTTCTAGTTATATTCTGGTATAAGGTAAGACATTTATAGTATTAAAAAGAAGATAACTTTAAAAAAACTCAAAGGAGATGACTTTTGAACTTGATTTTTTTTTTTTCGGTTCTGCATTTTTTTTTTTAAATTTAGGTTGTTTATTTTTCATTTCAATGAACATCTACAGAGATTTTGGGATTCCATTCATTCATTGTTGCAGCAATGAACTTGATTTTTAATAATCACTTGGATTTTGAGAAGAAAGGAAAGGGGAGCTGTACCTTCCGGATGCTGAAGAGAGTGATTGAATTCTATTTATAAGATGTTTAATGCTTTTGAGCTGTCTAATAACATCATGTTTTGAAACATCTGGTAGTGTTGATCATGGATTAGCTTTGGATAAGGATTAGAGATCTTATCTATTTTCATTTACTGTCAAGTTGGAACCAACTTATAGCTGGCCCTCTGCCAGGTTTTCAGAGACTGTAATCACATGAGAGGAGATTACCTTTTTTTTCTCTGACAGAATGGCTGTCTGGTATGAACCAACGGAGAGGTGCTGCATTTTACTTAGCAGTGTTAATCATAGTCAGCCACCTCACCTATAAAGCTGTTAACGTAACCTGAGTCAGGAGAAAGTGGAAGAAGGCAGGCTGTAAGACAAAAGGAGAAATAGATACAGAAACTTGGAGTGAGGTTTTTAAATCTTGTGACTCCTGTAGATATTGAGGGGTGGGAAGAGTTGAAGATTTTTGAACTGAGTTACTTGGGGTTACATAGATTGTCATGAGGAGCAGGTGGAGAATTAGGAAGTTTAATGAGGAGCAGGTGGAGAATTAGGAAGTTTACAATGGTAGATAATGAATTTATTATCAAATTCTTATTTTCACTCCCTTGTTTTTCATTTGAAGGCACTCACAAGACTTCATCAGCTGAAACTTTTAGGGCATACTTTAGTTGTTGAATTTGCAAGAGACCAAGGTCAAAGTCATTCTTTATCTCCTTCAAACAGTGAAAAAAGGAAAAGGTATGTGCATGGTTAGATTTTTCCAATATGTTAATTTATTGTTTGTATTTTTATTGAATTGTTTTCTGAATAGAAAATAAATAATTTGAAACAGTAAATCTGCATTGAAACAGATGAGAGAACTGTTTAAAAGGCATATATGGTTAGATATTGTCATGACATGAGTCCCGAATGAAGGCTGCATAGTGGAGTGGACTTGGGGCAAGGGATTGAATAACAATGAAAGAATTTTTCTTTTCAAAGAGAAGAATGAACTGGAGGGGAGGGCTAAGCAGGGAGAAAAGTGCAACAACAAAAATGAAAAAAAAAAGAAACAATAAATCATACATTTCTTTATTGACTCTAATAAAAAAATTAAATTTTTCCTGATACTGTTAGTTACTGTCAGGTTGTTTCTGACCTGTGACAACCTCATGTGTGCAGAATAAAACTACATTATAGGGGTTTTCAAGATTGACTTTTTGGCACTTACAGGTGTGCTTGAACTACCAATTTTTAGCTAGTAGTTGAGCTCTGGTGGCTTCTTGTGTACGGTTGAGTTGGAATCGACCCATAGTTGACCCACTGGCAAGTTTTCAGAGGCATTTAGTTGCACAGGAGGAGATTGCCCATCCTCCCACGGAGCAGCTAGTGGTTTCAAACCACATGCCTTCGGGATTGCATTGACAGTTTCTTGCCAGTAGGCCACCAGAACCCAAAGGCACACAACTTGAATCCACCAACTGCTCTACGCAAGAGAAAGATGGCAGTGTCTTCCTAAGCAGTTTACTGCCTCTGAAAACCTGTGGAGGGCCAGTTATAAGTCTGTTAGAACTCAATAGTACATAACAGAAAAACAAACAAAAATCCCAATCCCACTGCTCTTGAATCAGTTTCCACTTAGTAACACTATTGGACAGAGTGGAACTGCTCTTTAAAGTTTCCAAGATTCTAAATATTTTTAAGCTGACTATCTTTAGAGTGGAAGCAGGAGCTGCATCCACTTCCGAAATGGCTTGCCTCCGGAAACTCTATGTACGAACAGTGCTCAGGTTACGACTCGACGGCATCAAACAGCAACAACAACAATCTTTAGAGTAGATGGTAATTTGAACTGCTGACCTTTTGACTAACAGCTTGAGAGGTTGTAACCACAGTGCTGAGGGCTTTTTTTTTGTACTACCCAAGAACTATATGGGACAATAAGAACAAGGGACTTTAATTTTAGAAACCAAATGTTATTCATAGTGACTCATGCAACAGAGTAGAACTGCCCTGTATGATATTCTTGATGGTGATCTTTAAGGAAGTAGATCTCTTCGTGTTAATCCCATGGAGACTTTGGATAATTTCTAACTGCTAACCTTTCAGTTAGCACTCAGCCACTGAACTCCTGTGCTACTAGGACTCTTGAATTTAGTATTGTTGTGTGTTGCTAAGTCTGAACCAACCCATAACTCACCCTTCAGTGTATTCAGAGGCAGTAACTCACACTGAAAAGAGATTTCCATCTTTCTCCCACAGAGCAGCTGGTGTATTTAAACTGTCTTTGAGATTGCCACAACAGCTTCTTAGCACTAGGCAACCAGAGTTTAAATTATGTGAAATGCAAAGGGAATGGATCGAAAAACACTCAACTTTGAAGGAATGTAGCTAGTATAAAGTCTTTGATGTGTCAAGCTTAACAGAGTGTCCTAACTAAGCTTGTCCTTTAAAGTCAGATATTTGCCAGCTGTATAGCTATGACTCTAAGTACATGATTTTCACAAATTTGCTTTATACTCAGGGTTCTTAAACTTTTTAAGCCTTGTACCACCTGCATCACTTGAGATTTTGCTTAAAATAGACATTCTTGGGCCGTACCTTGTCTTACTGTAAGAAACTTGAGAATAGAGGTGAATAAGGACCCAGCATTATGCATTTTTTTTTTTAGTAAAATCTCCAATTAAATATTCCATTTAATTTTCCTTAATGAAAAGTGTACTATCTTCGTGTGGTGTTGTGAATTGTAAATGAAAATGTAGAGTACAAGTATACAAAAATCTTCCTTTCTTTTTCATTGGTCTTGGCTTAAGAAATGCCTTGATGTGTTTATTTTGAAATAGGCTGTATGATGTCATGTTCAAGAAGGTAAATTGTCTTTTCTGTTTGAAATTTGTTACTTTTCTTTCTTAAAATCAACTTCAGTTTCTGTTTTCTAGGTCTGATGACCCTATGGAAGATGATAAAGAAAAGAAAGAAGTTGGTTTTTTAACAGTAGAAAATGGAATTGCACCAAATCATGGGTTAGCATGATTTATTTGTTTGTTTTTTTTAAAAATGACATTTCAGTGTATGTCATATCTATTTTTAGTGTGTTGGTTTTTGGACATCTGAAGGTTAATTGTCACCAATTCTATCTTAAAAAACAGGATCTGCTAATTTAGAGTTACAAGCAAATATAAAAAAATATATTGATATTTATTAAAGCAATTTTTTTTACATTTAGTTTTTTATCACATAGTACAAGGCTGTTTTTAAATATGGTTATTTAAATTTTCTAGAAAAATGTAAAGCAAATAGTGCTGCGTTATTTCAGCCATTTTACATTTTCATGTTACCTGGCATAATTTATTGATATGAAATTATTTTTAAAATAAGGTAACACTTCCAGCATTGTAGCCACAACCCTGAGTATTCTAAGGATTCAGAAGAAGCTTGGCTCAAGCATCCTCTGCATTGTCAAGAAGAAAATTTGATTGACTCTGAATGCCTACTTCTAACAACACATCTGAAAGCTCATCAGAAATTAACTAATTGTTTATAAGAGTGTATTCCATGCTATATTCTTGGGAAGAGCTCTGGTAGCATGTTGTTGTGTGCTATCGAGTCAGAACTGACCCTTTCACAGATAATAAATTGCACAAGAGAAGATTGTCCATCCTTCTCCTACATAGAAGCTGTTGAACCAGGAGCCTTTTGTATTGTAGCACAGCTTCTTAACCACTACGCCACCAAAGCTCCATATTTATTTTTCTCCCAGTTTAGGAGGCTCTGGTTAATGTGCCATAGAGTCATGCTCAACTCAGCTGGCCAATCAGGTTTTCAGAGGTCTCATGGGGGTAGAGTGCCCATTTTTCTTGTGAAGAGCAGGTGGATTCAAACAGCCTACCTTTGGATTGGCTGTGCAACTCCTCGTCCACTAGGCCACCAGAACTCTCATATCCTTTAACAAGTTCTACTGTTGCACTAGGGACTGCTTGAGGGGGGAAATGGGCAGTTTCCAACAATTTCAGTGTATATCCACAGAAACCCAGTAGAAGGCCACAGTGAGCTGGAACTAACTCAACAGTAATGAGGTTCTTTTTAGTCTATGTCAGGAAAACAACTTGACCCTTTGGAAAGGTAGGTGTATGGTTGTATATAAGGAAAAAGTTGAACTCCGAATTCCAAGCTGCTAGTGCTTGAATGCCTTAGAAAGTATCTTGTGTAAAATGATGAGAATTCTATACTGACTACCTAGAAAAATACCATGAATCTGATGAAGGGGAACTTGTTTTCCAGAAAATTAAGATACTTATGAAACACATCCATTGTTTGAGGGCAGGCAAATCCTGTAGAAAGATTCTAGTTGATCAAGCTGAGACCCAAAGGTCTACAACCAAGGAAGAAGACAAGTGCTTTGAGGAGTAGCCCTCAACTATGTAGGAGGAGATCATCAAGAAGGAAAAGACCAAGAGATAAAGCTCTGCTGCTAAATGTCTGTTCTTAGTGGGCTCAAATTATATAGAGCATTTATTAAAGCAAGTCTTTATCTGCCTGCCAAAAATATTCTTACAAAACTATGATCATAAATATTTCAACTGTTTTTCTTTTAGACTGACCTTTCCTCTTAATTCATGCCTGAAATATATGTATCCACCACCTTCTAGCACAATCTTAGCAAATATAGTGAATGCCTTGGCAAGCGTGCCTAAGTTCTATGTTCAGGTAAGAAGAATAAAACAGATTTTTTGAAAACTAAATGCTTATATAGTTTGATACATTATTTTCCATGGTAGTACTTACTGCTTATTTGTTCATTGTTCAGGATTAATTTCTCCATCCAGAAGGCAATGTTAGAATATTATTATCATAAAATGCTATAATTTTAAAGTTATTTACTACTGTAATAATTGTAATGGATACCTGTTAAGTGCAAACTAATGGGGAGAAAATACAGTTGTTAGTAATTTTCAATTTATAATGCACCTTTGTTAAAAATTCTTTAATGGCAAAATGAGCACCATACCAAATGCATGATAGTAACTGTACCAAGATACTTTTGATTTTCATATAAATAATGTTTATTTTCTTTATTGTGCTTTGTTTTTTAATTTCACAGTAATTTGAGTAAAATATATACACATGAAATAGATAATTCATTACAATAGTTAATTGTGTTTGTAAAGTTGACAAAACATCTTAAGAAGGTTAATGGTAAGAATGGCACAGCATAGGGCAAGGCTTGTATCCATTGTTCATAGAGTTTCTATGATTTTTAATTGTCTCATTAAGACCTAAGATTAGCAACAGTGGCATAATGGCTAATTGCTCAACTGGTGATCTAAAAGTCAGTAGTTCAAATTTATCAATGTCACCAGCCACTTGGCAGGAAAAAGTTATGGCAGTCTAATCCATAGAGATTAGAGCCAAGGAAATCTCACTTTTTCTTGTGGAATTATTCTGTGTTTGGATTGACTAAACAGCAAAGGATTTGTTACTCTTCTCAGATTTAGCAATACATTGTTTTAGCGCTGTTCTGGAACTATGAAAACAAGATGAATTTTCCTATGCAGTAAACTAATTAATGGTATTACTAGTAAAGATTTTTAAGTCATAAAATGTACAGTGTAAATTGAATCATCATTTTATACTGTGTAATTTTAAATATCATTTTAAGGTGCTTCATCTTATGAATAAAATGAATTTGCCCACACCTTTTGGACCAATTACTACACGACCTCCCCTGGTAAGAAAGTTCATATAATTTTCAAAGTTCAAAATTGATCTTCTAGGGTAGGATTATTGAGGCCAAAATGCATAGGTGTTATTCTATCAGTCTGAAAAATATACTGGAAAAAAAGGAACAAATATAAACTTAATGTCATAATAGTGAAGTAGAGAACTGAAATATGAAAGCTGGAACATGAAACTGATGCTTTGGGCAGTAGCCCAAAGCTATTGCCATCCATCATCACTTCTGCCAATGTTACCCAGTCCTTTAATAAAGAATTAATCTTGCCATTCTACAAGATGATAACATTTAAGTAACTTAATTATCTGAAATGTCAGTTCTGGTTTTATTGCAAATTGAGTTTCATTTGTAGAAGACAAGCAAAGTTAATTTTTCATTGGACTTTAATAATATATCAATTTAGAAAGCTACTTTCACATACTTGTATTTATTATTTGGTTATGTTGCTATATTGTTGGTTCTTCTAAAATTCTTACTAAATCCCAACTCTGTGTGTGTGTGTGTGTGTGTGTGTGTGTGTGTGTAAAACAAAATAAAACACCAACTCTCTGTACAACAGGATGAAACATTATCTGGTTTTGTGCCATCCTCACAATCATCCCTGTGTTTGGGCCCATTATTGTTGCCATTGTATCAGTCTATCTCCTTGAGATACTTTGGCTTTTTTTGTTGGGTACTGTACTTTATCAATCAAGCATGATGTCCTTATGCAGGAATTGGCCCCTCTTGATAATGTGCTTAGTCTACAAGAGATTAAGTTTTATCATTCTTGCTATAAGGAGTATTCTAAAACAGATTTGTCATTCTGATAGTTTATGATAAAGATCTTGGCCATCCTTGTAATTAGAAGACATTCCTTCTCTTATCTACTTTAGTGATTATCTACTTTTCACATGCCTTTAAGATTATTGCAAATATATTGACTTGAGATAAAGCATACCTCAGTCCTCAAAGTAACATCTTTTTAACACTTGAAAGAGATTTTTTTT